TTTGGTAAAACGTTTACAACATAAAGTTAAATGGGGGCAAAACACCACATAAAATACCATCTCAACAATTTTTAACATTTTGATGTATTTTTTCCAATTTTTTCTTGTATATATTCTTCTCTCCTTTTAAAAAGGAGAGAATGGGGTGGGGTTGGGGTGAGGGGTTATACCAATGCTCTTTTGGACAAAGATGAGGGCTGCACTCTCTCCACTATGGCTTGGGAGGCACTACCCAAGGTCAATGCCTCCGTGGAGTAATTTCCAAGCCTCCTTGTCCCAATACACTAAGAGCCCCATAGAATGCCAGGAATCATCTTCTTTTGGCAGAGAGATGACTCATCCATCTTTCCTCAAAGGTTTCAGTGAACCCCAGGTTAAATGTCCCTGTGAATAAGATCAGAAGCCTCTCAGTGGGGATGACCTAGAATCAAATATGCTTTGGCTAGTTAGAAGTTGTGCTAAGGCTCCCAGATGAAAGTCAATTTAGAAAGACAAAAAAATATTTAAAATAACAAAAATAACAATATCAAAAGTCAAAGCACCAATACTGACCATAATTATGACGATTGTTTTTTATCAACACTTTTTTTTTTTTGCTCTGTTGCCTAGGCTGGAGTACAGTGGCCCAATCTTGGCTCACCACAACCTCCGCCTCCTGGGTTCAAGCAATTCTCATACCTCAGTCTCCCAAGAAGCTGGGATTACAGGCATGTGCCACCAAGCCTGGCTAATTTTTGTATTTTTAGTAGAGACAGGGCTTCGTGATGTTGGCTGGTCTGGTCTTGAACTCCTGGCCTCAAGCAACCTGCCCACCTCGGCCTCCCAAAGTGCTGGGATGAGAGGGTGAGCCACTGCGCCCGGCCTTTATCAACACTTTACCTTGATGTGCACTTTTCTAAGCTGCCCAAATCATTTTGCATATATCACCTACTTATTCTGACAGAGTCTCAGCATTACATTTTCTAACGATACTATTTTGGAGGTAGGAGGGAGCTTGAAAGTTCTGATGAAAACTAGAAACTTCTTGAGTTAAAAACAAAACCCTGAAGTGTGGTATTTTCCAACTTGGTTCTTGACAAGAAATTAGGGGATTTCAGTGTGAGAAATTATAAAGCCCTATTACTATGAATTCTTAGTTTTGGTGAATATGATGTGGTATTTCTGCCAAACTCTCTAAGGAGAGTGACAGAACATTCATGATGCTGACCCATGGGGAGAAAGGAGCTTGCACATCTGTGCTATGACAATTCTAAAACCTCAGGGATTAAAATACCCAACTAGTGTAAGAGCTGCCTGTGTGAGACTGTGTGCTCAGTCCACATCTGCTCATCATGGCTCAACAAGGCCAGGCTCAGATCTTTAGATAACTTAAGCTCTGAAAAGACTACAGTGCCTCAAATTTGAATTATTACTCCTATGTGAAATTAAAATAGAAAAAAATAACAACATGCAAAATTAAGGTTAAGAAAGCTCAACAACGTCTAACTTTTCCCAGACTGTCTACTTTGATGCTTTTTTTGAAATGTCAAATATCAAAATATTTACAAAATGTGTGTTTGTACACAATCCTGCTTTGCTGGTGTTGTCTGTGAGGTCACTCAGCATCCAGTGGTCACAGGGATCTATGGCTTTCTTTCAAACACCAAGTGTTGAACAGTAATGAAATTCTGGTACCTGATGTGGTGGTCTCACGCCCCTTCCTGTAGTAATATGCAGCTAGAAATTAGAAATCAGGAGGCTGGCCCCTCCCCCAACCCTAACACCATTCATATGTCAACTCCTGCTTACTTAGTGCTTTGAGGAGTCATAACAGATGGTAGTTGAAATTAGCAAGCTGTGATTAGCCATTCTCCCACATGAATGGACCCTGACGTTGACTGAGACCTTTGGCTCTGCCCTTCTTGAAAGACTCTGTTAGGCTAGGACTTCCAGCAACACATCATCCCCATTTGGCTCCAGCTTTTGAAATCTGGCACA